AAGACCGGGCACAGTCACACAGTGTGAAGAGCAACCAGTCACTTGTAAGGGTAGTCACACCATCACTAGGCACGACCATCATTAGGCTCCACCATCACTAGGCTCCACCATCATTACGCTCCACCATCAGTAGGCTCCACCATCATTACGCTCCACCATCAGTAGGCTCCACCATCACTAGGCTCCACCATCAGTAGGCTCCACCATCACTAGGCTCCATCATCAGTAGGCACCACCACAATTAGGCTTTGCTACCATCATTAAGCTCCACCACCATCATTAGGCTCCACCATCATTAGGCTCCACCACCGTTAGGTCCCACCACCATCATTATGCACCACCATCATCATTAGGCCCCACCACCATTTGGTACCACCACCGTTAGGCCCCACCATCATTAGGCTCCACCACCATTAGGCACCACCACTATCATTAGGCTCCACCATCACTAGGCACGACCATCATTAGGCTCCACCATCACGAGGCACCACCACCATTAGGCCCCATCATCACTAGGCACCACCACCATTAGGCCCCATCATCAGTAGGCTCCACCATCAGTAGGCTCCACCATCAGTAGGCTCCACCATCAGTAGGCATCACCATCATTAGGCATCACCACCGCTAGGTCCCACCACCGTTAGGTCCCACCACCATCATTAGGCACCACCGTTGTTAGGCGGCACCACCACATAGAGCTCAGCCATTCACAATGCCACAGTTGAGACCTGCAGACTCCCCGATGGCTACACAAATGCTGTGTTGTTCAACTCACAGCAAGCTTTTCATTTTGCCATTGACTGAGAATGATTCCAAAATTGATCTTACAAGATTTCGGATTACACAGCAGCTACCAAGGGGCCCGATGTACTATTGTGTTTTCACTAAGAGTTATATTCCCAGCCACCAATCAGCTTTAACTTTTGGGGAAAGGCCGGATACTGATTGGTGGCTGAGAAGTAACTCCAGTTCCTGGTAGGGACACATTGATACATCAGCAACTCATAGATTCATCAATTCTCCAACAGGGTCTGCATTGCTCCACCTCCCGTGCAGGACGGTCACCACAGAGTTATATCAATTCATCATCACTCATTACCAATCACAAAAGACGACGCCGAAGACGTACAGCGAGTACCGACCTGCGTCCATGACACTGACTGCAGCTCTACAATCCAATATTCAGAACCACACATGACATTCAGAAGACAGACGAGGCTTCTATCACTGACAACAAATAACTATTATAGCAAAATTCTATTATTTCCTGAGCCAATCCGAAGAAGAGAAAGAAAGAAAAATAATAATAGTAATAATAATAATTTACATTAAAATGTATATATATATATATATTTATTTATAGATATATAGATATAGATATATATTATTATTATTATTATGTTTCAATAATAAATGTAATCAAAAT